GCCCTTTTTTCTCCGCGGTCCTTGTCGCGCTGCTGATGACATCAGCGACGCGCTTTAATCGGGCGCGCTTTAGTGGACCGCGGTTTTGTCGTGCCACGAATTTGTGGAACCTCTTCTACAGAAGAGGTTAGAACTGGCAGGAAACCATCCCTGTGCTGCCCTGAGTCACTGCTTTTGGTGAGGTAAGATGGGCCATATAAATTTGATGAATAAGTAAGTCGAAAGAGAAACTTTTAAGACACTTTGTAATGGGGACATTTTGAAGGAGAATGTGTTGAAAAGTCCAATACAGGTAGTCCTCGACTTACGACAGTTCATTTACTGATCGAAGTTACAAAGGCACTGAAAAAAGTGACCTATGACCGTTTGTCACATTTAAGACTGTTGTAGCGTTCCCAGGGTCACACGATTTAAGCTCAGATGCTTGACAACTGACTTACATTTATGATGGCTGCAGTGCCCTGGAATCTCTTGTGACCTTCTCACAAGCCAAGTCAATGGGGAAACCAGATTCACTTAACAACACTGTGTTACTAATTTAACAATTGCAGTTATTCATTTAACAAATGTGGCCAGAAAATTGAAAAATGAGGCAACTCATTTTAAAAATTTCTCACTTAACATAAATTGTGGACTCAGTTGTGGTTGTAAGTTGAGCACTATTTGTATTAAATTAATATTTAATGCATGGAAACTGCATTCACAAAAATTTGTCCAGCCAAGTATAATTGTGAAGATAGTTTGTTGCTAGCTGAACTGCCATATCACAATCTGGCCTATTTTATTACATTTAACTATGTGCTGTGTGGACTTGATCTACAAATTATGGCTTAAAAGTAACAATAGCTGCATTGTTTAATTATAAAACTGCATCTGGTTTATAAAAGTACTTTCCATGTGAATGCACTCTGTCATATTCTTTCTGCTTTTCCCAACTTCATCCAATTAAGGAGAACCTATATTGGTAATGTTGGAGTAAAACCATGAGAGAAGGGAAGGAGATGCATATTCTATTAAATCATTCAGATTATTAATATTTTAAAATCTGTCAGTCTGCATATTTTGGTGTATAACAGAACTTTTTAGCTGATAAAAGAAGTGATTGTAACATCTCTATTACATATGATTGTGTCAAACAATCATAATCAAGTTATGTTAAAATGAAAAATAAACATTTAATAATGTTAAATTTTATACTGGTTTTTCAGGAGGGATGGATTCATCTTCATCAACAAAACTTCTAGATATTGATGTGAAGGTAACTGATGTATACTACCATCGAAAAGAAGTCCTTATAAAATTTCAAGGCCAATTTAACACAGAATGTGAGCTTGATTATCATATATTGCAAAAAGAAATTCAGCAAGTACCAAAAGTGAAAGCTTCTGTTGCAGTTGGTGAATTCTGTTTAGTCAAAGATTCAGAGTGTGGAGATTGGTACAGAGGAAAAGTAATTAAGAAAAGGCATGATACCTATGATGTACATTTTGTGGACAATGGAAAAATACTGGCAGTGCATGAAGCTCACCTTGCATCTTCTATTGCTGAATTGTTTCAGCTTCCTCCAAAGATGGTTTATGGGATTTTTGCAAATGTCCTTCCTATTGAAGAAAAGTGGACTGCCCAAGCTTTTAATTACTTTTCATCTTTGATAGGTTTGCAGATTAAAGGTCATATACAAGCCACTCTGCCAAACCAAATGTTTCTTCTTCATGTGCCCAAAATTGCTACTGATGTGGTTGAATTCAGAATAGGAAAACTTGTTAATAAGGATACTTTCTGTCTTCTTGTTGAAATGTTAACTGCATTTCCACACGAGTCGCTTTGTAAACAAATGCCGGATTTACCACAACAGAAATGTACAAGGCCAGGTACACTATTTTGTGATGCTGGGATTCAACCAAATATTCCACCAGTTCTAAGAAATCTTCAACCAATTTTATCTGTTGGTGCTGTAGAAAAAGTAAAAATATCAGTAGCAGTTAGCCCCAGTAAGTTTTATTGCCAATTACTTCAACAACAGACACAGCTGGATACATTGACAAGAGACATGCTTTCCTATTATGAATCTATTAGCAGAGTAAAACTTCCATCTTGTGACAATTTTGGAGCCCTTTGCGCAGCTAGACAAAAAAACGGTCAGTGGCAGAGAGGAGTAATACAACAGCTACTTTCTGACAAAGTGAAGATTTGGTTTATGGATTTTGGCAACTATGAAGCTGTGTCTTCTGAGTATATTTTGAAGCTTCCCCCAGAATTTATTTCAGTACCTATGTTTTCATTTCCTTGTGCTCTATCATGTCTTAGTGATCAAGAAGAAACGGAAAGAAATGCTCAGCTAGAAGAATTTAAAGAAATTCTATTAACACAACAGTCTACTTTGGCCCAAATAGATCGGTTCGATAGTAAAGAGCACATATATTATGTTACGTTACGTAAATGCGCATTGACACAGACAAGTGAAAATCTATCTCGGGAAAATGATGTGGATCCAAAATACAACACAGATGCCTCTTGTACAAGCGGGAATGTACAAAATCCTAGGGTGAACTTGGCAGAGAAGATTTACAGTACTACTCAACAATCAAGTTATTCCTCAAATCAAAAGGATACTCATTTACTGTGTTCACCTTTAACAGTTCCTTACAAAAGAGCAGAAATGAAAATAAGTTCAGTTTGTGTTGCTTTTGCAGTTTATGTTTTGAATCCATCGAATTTCTGGGTGCAAACGAATGATTTCTCAGATGAGTTTGAAGCTTTAATGAAGAAAATTGCAGATGTGTATGATGGAGTTGAAGTCGATGATAAAATTCTAGAAAACCCAGAACCTGGAAGACTCTGTTGTGCACGATATAGCAAGGATAAGTATTTTTATAGGGCTGTCATTAGACAAATTGTAGACAATAATGCTGATGTTTATTTTTTAGATTTTGGGAACACTGACACAGTGCCACTGTTTGATGTGAAGATTTTGCTTCCAGAGCTTCAAGAATTACCGGCATTAGCCATGTGCTGTACACTTGCTAATGCATTTCCAATTGAAGATATATGGACTAAAAAAGAAACAGATTTCTTTAAAACAATTGTGGTTGACAAACCAATCACACTGCATGTCATTGCAAAACAAAAGGAGAATTACATTGTCAATGTGCAGTGTATGAATGGCTCCAAGCAGACTGATGTTCTCGGGCTTATGATTGAGGCTGGATGTGCAGAATTTTGGGAAGTAAAACAAGATCCATTTCAGAAAACAGTAAGGGGCTTTCCACGAAACTTCTCAAAAAAAAATAAAAACAGAAAAATACTAAGTAAAACATCTATTCAGAAAAATAAAGTAGTGATACCTCACACTACTGATGAGAATAAAAAGCTGAATACTCATGTTGTGACAAAAGGGAATGCTAGCGTTTTTCTACAATGGAAAAACATACTTTCTAATAAAGATGAGCAAATGTTTGAGAAAACAGATGGAGGAGAATACTATAAAGAGTACAAATTTAAACCAGGTTGTGTGTTTGATGTTGTATGCTGTCATATTATTTCACCAGGCAGTTTTTTATGCCAGATACAAAATAAGCTACCTGAGCTAAATAATATGATGGAACAAATTCAGAATTTTTACAACACTCAAAAAAGACCTTATGAAAGTGGAAAGCTTGCCTGTGTTGTGAAACATTCTACAGATGGAAAATGGTACAGAGCTGTTGTACTGAAATATGTATCCCAAACTGAAACTGATGTGATATTTGTAGACTATGGTAACAGGGAAAGAGTTTTGTTGAAAGATCTTCAAGCTATTCATCCAGACTTCTTAATTTTGGAATGTCAAGCATTCAGATGTTGTCTTAACAGTGTCAGTGAATCCTTAATATTTGACCCCTATATTTGGACTGCTGAGATATGCAGCGAATTTAAAAGATTTGTTTCATCTTCCAATGAACAACTGATTTGTTCAATTTGTGCCCTGGTTTTTAAGCCTCCCAACTACTTATATTACATTGTTGATTTGAAGAGTCCGTTTACTAGTTTAAGGCAATTTCTCTTTGAAAGTGACCATGCACAAATTTACTCTTTTGAATGTGCACAATCTCTTGTAACGCCATTTTCTCTATGTAGCTTTTATTATTCATCTTTTAATATGGAAGTTGGAAATGAAGAGAAAGTACATCTATCCTATATATATAGCCCTACAAAATTCTACTGCCAGTTAAGTAGAAATGCAAATGAGATGGACAAGATACATAAAAAGATTTCAGAAATTAGCCCCAAAACAAACCATGTAATCCAAATGAATACTCAGAGTTTATGCATAGCAAAATATTTTGAGGATGGAGACTTCTATAGAGCTTTAGTATCTCCTAAGGAAACATCAGATTTCTACCCAGTATATTTTGTGGACTTTGGAAATAAACAATTGGTAGCCGAAGAGGAACTAGTTCCTATTCCAAACAGTGCTTCAGAATTAATGTTCACACCCATGCAAGCTATTAAATGTTATTTATCAGGTCTAAAGGATGTTGAAATTCCGTCTAAAATGAAAGCATGGTTTGAAAAAAAATATTTGGAAAAAGAGTTGAAGGCTGTAGTAGTATCTAAAGAATCTGATGGGCAGTTCGGTATGGAGTTGTATGATGGAGAACTACAAATAAATGCAAAGATTAAACATTTACTAAAGCAAAAAAGTGATCTGAACCCAAAGGATAAAAAGAAAGCTTTAAAAAAATGTGTTGGGAATAAACATAGGCCTTGTAAAATAGAGTTGAATATAGAGAGAAAAAAAGTTAAAAGTAAAGAAATTGGACAGCAAATAAAAGCCAGCAATGATAAGTTACCTTCTAAATATAGGAACAAAAAAGTAATTGATCAACAGAAACAGGATAGTGGACCTGCAAAGTTTCCTTTGACTTCGGATTTTTCAGATTTCATGTTGAAAAAAGTTTTGAGATACAGATATAAAAGTACTCACAAAGAACCCAATACTGATACCATTGATAAACTTAATGAACCGTCAGAGAAAATTAAAAATAAAAGGACTGGATTATATAGACTAAAATACACTGATCTTCCCCAACTTGACATTCTTCTAAATTCTGAAGTCTGGGGTTATATGTCTTATATAGTTAATCTTTCAAGTTTCTATGTTCATCGTTCAGAGGATGAAAATAAAATTGTGCAACTTGCTGGGGAACTGAATAGAAAAACTCTGGTTAAAGAATCAGTAATAGAGGTTGAACTTGAGAAAGACGATATTGTTTTAGCAAAATATGAAGGTGATTGTTGCATATATCGAGCTTTAATTAGAAAAGTCCTAGCCAATAAGTTTTTTGAAGTAGAGTTTATTGATTATGGCAACATAGCAACTGTGAATTCAACAAACATCTACAGAATTGGAAAGTATTTACTCGATTTACCAAGACTCAGCATACATTGCTTCCTTAGTAAAGCAAAGTGCTTGTTTTCAAATAAAAACTGGAGTACTGATATGGATGCTTACTTTATCAATGAGGTAAATAATCAGCCAGTCATGATTAAGTTTCTACAACAGTATGACCAACAGTGGGAGGTTGACATAATGTGTCATGGAATATTTATCTCTGATAAATTAATAGAGAGAGAAACCCTTTTAGGTTTCGAGAACATACTTTCACTAAACTATGACCAGAACATGAAACAATTCCCAACAATAGATTCAGAAACTCTTAGTAATAATCCAGGTAAAAAATCAGAAAGTCAAACATCATGTGAAAGCATTAAAATCAAACCTACTAAGATTGGCTACCAAAATATAAAGCCTGGACAGATAGAAATAGTTGAAGTTGGTCATATTTCAAGTAATGGGAACTTCTATGTGAGGTTAACTAAGGATGCACAAACAATGCTCAATTTGAATGTACTAGTTGCTCAAGAAGTAGAGAAAAAGTGCTTTATTGCTATGGAAGAGATTAGAGAAGGATTGGAATGTTTGGTAAGATCAAACAAACCCTTGGGATGGTATCGATCTGAAGTTATTAAAAAATATGTGAAGGAGGAATGTATGCTGGTCCTTTTTGTGGATTTAGGAGAGTATGAAATGGTGTCACTGCATGATACACATGTGCTGAGTGAAAAAATAAGGTGTATTCCCAGGAATGCAGTTCTTTGTAGATGGATTTGGATTGGAAATCTAAGCGATTTGTCTTTTGAGGGAATGATGGAGAAGGTTAAATATTGTGAGATAAAGATTAAATTTTTTGAATACTTAGAATCTGAGCTTATTTGGGAAGTAGATCTTTTTATAGATGGAATTTTATTTTTGGAATATTGGAATCAAATATCTAAACAAACAAAATTAGAGGGACATAACTTATTAGGGACAGTGAATGTCAGCAAATCACTTGATATCTCAGTCAGATCAAGTTCAATTTCATGGGCACAATTTCAGAAGGATAGTCACTATCCTGGATTTGTAACATCGGTCATTGATCCTTCAAACTTCTGTATTCAGTTTGGAGATTCATTTAAAACTCTGATATCCTTGTTCAAAATGCTCTCTAATCTTCCAGAAAGCCTCCCAACTATGCCACAAGAATGTATGATTCCTGGTGCCACCTGCTTAATAAAAAATGGACCTAATGGAAGCTGGAACAGAGTTGAAGTTTCTGAAGTGCTCAAAGACTCTAGTACGTTAATGCTTACTTTTATTGATGATGAGGGGTTATCAGTTCCCCTTCCCATCTCGGATGTCTCTAAGCTGAAGATTATCCCAGAAAAGCTAGCTAGTTTACCACGATTAACCTATCCTTGCTCATTGTTTGGAGTGACACCTGCTGATGGGAAACATTGGAGTGATGAAGCCAAACTTATAATTCAAGAATTTCTTGGTAGACAAGGTCTCACATTCCAATTCAAACAGCCTCATTGTGGACTGAAGCTAGAAGTAGATGTTTTTTTTGGGCAAAACAATGCCGCAGATGTATTGGTTGCTTCTGGTTGTGCTTTGTATTCTAAAACTGCATCTTTTGGATCAGCTAGCTGTGATGACCTTCAGCTACCAAATTCACGTACTATTTATGATCCACTGTCCATTCAGAAGATCTCTAAACCACAGATTGCCACAAAGAGAGACCAGAAAGGTCCACAGAATTCAGATGTGCAATTGAAATGTGTTGATTTAAAAAAATTAGAGGTGAAGAGCTCCAAAAAACTACGTGGTAAAAAAAAAGACTCTCGGATGAATTTCTTCAATAAAAGAAATTATAGAAGTCTGCACAACCAGAATGAGAAATTATTTAATCAATGTTGTGACAGAGAACAACTCAACCAAACATATTCTACAACCGTATCAAAGGCTTCTGACAAGTTGATTTTGGACTCCCAAGAATGCTCAGATCCATGAAGAAAATTGAACACTTACAAGGTCAGTTTCAAATGACACTTAACTGTATAAAATTATCTTATCCTTTGCTTTAATCTATAACAGGAACAATAGTTTGGGCTTCCTTTAAGGCTAGCAGCAAAAGAATCATACCCCTAATTTGCCTGCATAAACTGCCATAATGCATACTGGAAGGATGTTAGTATATTCTACATATAATGCAGCACAGATTGCAGCACAGATCACAAATCTATCTGAGTTTGCACATATAGTGGATTTCTTTGTAGAAAGATAATCTGCCACAATGTGATTATCTATAGGCAGCCTTTAGGGCTCATTATGGAGCACATAATTTAGTCCCCTTGGAGGACTATCTATGCCAGGAGTCTCAAACTCGATTTCATTTGAGGGCTGCATCAGGGAGTGTTTGACCTTGGGGCCAGGGTGGCTGTGGCCAGGGTGGGCATGGCCAGCTCAACGTCACTCATTTTGGGGGTGCCTATAATGGCCTGAGTGCTCGGCCAGTGAAAATGGGCTCCCAAGCTCTATTTTGGCTACAATAGCCGCCTGCAACCCTCTGCCAGTGAAAACAGACCTCCCGCCAGTGGCCCTCCAAAAATCTCTTTTTGCTGGCAGACGCACCATGGGTCGGTCTTTCGCTGTTTCCGGGACAGCCCTGCACGCCAGATTGAAACACCCTGCAGGCTGGATCCGGCCCCCAGGCCTTGAGTTTAACACCCCTGATCTGTGCTACGAATTTTACAGCAAAGTAGTGTTCTCTGTTTTTGCTCAGCATCTTGGCAGTTTTCAACCAGAAAATCCTTCTGAATTGCTTTCAGCTCGGAAACACAATTTTATAATGGCTTAGGTTCTTAGAAATATGATTTAAAAGAGGTGTTAGAGATTCCTACAGGTAGTCCTCAACTTACAACCACAATTGAGCCCAAAATTTATGTTGCTAATTGCGACATTTGTTAAGTGAGTTTTGCTCCATTTGATGGCTTTTGCCACAGTTGCTAAGCAAATCACTGCAGCTGTTAAGTTAGTAACACAGTTGTTAAGTGAATCTAGCTTCCCCATTGACTTTGCTTGCCAGAAGGTTGCAAAAGGAGATTTACATGACCCTAGGACACTCTAGCCATCATAAATATGAATCAGTTGCCAAGTATCTGAACTTTGATTACAGGATGCTAAAATTGTTGTGTGGAAAATGCTATTAAATTCCTTTTTTTCCCGTGTTTGTGTAACTTTGGACGGTCATTAAATGAATTGTAAGTTGGCGACTACCTATATTTGATATGGTGTCTATTGGTAACTGTTGAATAACATCTGGTATATTTGATTTGGTACCACCAGAATGCTGATGACACTACCTCTTTTAATTCTTTTCCACTTAAATGCAAGGAAATTTTGCTTCATTTCTGAAGTCAGTAAGAGACTGAATGAGTGCAAACTTACAGGTGCACAATTCAGACCAGACACTAATTTTCTTGGTTATTTGAAAGATAAATGAAAGAAAATGGAATTTAGTCAGAAGCTCATTTCATTAGTGTCCAAGAAGATTGGTATTGCTTGGACAATTGATTTATGCTCACTTGTAGAAAAGAGCTATTAAAAGGCTGAAGGGCATTTTTATTTAGAAATAATCATCTTTTTTCATGTATATGAAGACATACATCTATATTCCACATACATATATGGAATAATATATATTCCATATACATTTACAAATATATTTCTCATTCTTCTATGTATACGAGTTTAGCCAGCCATTACTGTCATGTTTCCTTTGGCCACAGTAAGCCTTTCCTATTCCAGGGTCCCCAATTGAATTTTAATTCCATTACTTCTTTTTTTTTTGCAATTTTTTTATTTTTAAACATAAAAAAACCAACATATTTTTTTTTCATCCATTACATGCAGCATATTGTTTGGTTACAAGTGTTTTTGCGTCCATGTTCTCAATTACATATACAATCAGATTTTCCGTCTAATATAACTAAATACCTCACTTTCATTGTGCAACATATATTCAATTACAATTAATATTTCTTTCTTTTCAATAAACCTAATTCCCTTACATTCTTGATTGTCTGTAACTGTTCTTCATGTTTTAGCCTCCA